CCCCCAGAACTTTCCCTGTATCTTTTCCACTTTCATTCCGCCCGAAATGCTTCCATATAGTCAGTTGTTGTTTCTTTCAGTGTGTCCTAGAACCTGTTTCAGAAGTACTACGTGGCACCGTATCACGTAATGCCTTATCGTTTAAATGTCTGTGTTGTTGTTGGAAGTCCTTGTAGTTTTTGATGGTGTACTCGCGGGGGGTGCATAGCTTGAAGTATCAAGCCATTGACATCTCAAAGGGCCTGCTCGATCCTGTTGGCCGCTCACGGACCGGTGTAGTCTAGCAATGTAAGGCGCCATCTAGTCTGTGGGCGACCCACAGTATTGACCCGAGTTGTCGTATGCACGGTCAAGGTTGAACAGGATGTCCATGTGCGGTCGCACCCTTCAAGAAAATGTGTTGCCCTTCTTTTCCAAGTTGCAGCAGCGTCGTCCTCATGTCCACCTTGTCACTGCCTATATCGAGTCTGGTTTCCATCATGGCTGCAGCCTACGTACTGCATGTTCACATGTTCGGGGTGATATCGGCCACGACGACGATGGCAATGGTGAGACATGCGAGTCAGACGAGGGACGATCTGGACGTGAGGAGGGGAGTGTGGTGGGGAGGGCAGCGTTGGGGCTGGTCGGGTGATGGGGTGATGGGCGGGCGGCTTCGGTCCCTCGTGCGTTCTGCAGTTGGATGAATAAGGCAGAAGAGACCGTCGAGTTGACCGTTGCCTCTCTCATCCTCGTCGTCGTTCTCCTGCTCCTGCTGCTCCTGCTGCGCCTGCTCCTGCGCTCGACCCACGCTCCTCACCGTCTCCTCCCGCTCGTGCTCGTCTGTGCAGGCATGCTCGGCTCGTGCTCTGGCTTGGGCTCGTGCTCCTGGTATGGTTCTTGCTCCCTCTCGTTCCTCTGCTGTCCTGCTCCCGCTTTCGGAGCGCTCGGGGCCCTCCCACCCCCCGCGCCCTCACCGGCGCCCCCCCCCCCGCCATCTCGCCCCCTGGGCCACTGCTGCCCACAGCGGGTCGGCAGCCCAGACGCTCCCGCCGCGGCAGAGCTCCGCAGTCGGGCGCCTGCGCGATGGAGGCGAGCTCTGGGCAGGAGAGGGGGGGGGGGAGGGACGGGGGATGGGGGAGGGATGGGGGAGGCAGGAGGAGGAGGAGGAGGAGGAGGAGGAGGAGGAGGAGGAGCAGGAGCAGGAGCAGGAGCAGGAGCAGGAGCAGGAGGAGCAGGAGGAGGAGGAGGAGGAGGAGCAGGAGCAGGAGCAGGAGGAGCAGGAGCAGGAGCAGGAGCAGGAGCAGGAGGAGGAGGAGCAGGAGCAGGAGCAGGAGCAGGAGGAGGAGGAGGAGGAGGAGGAGGAGGAGGAGGAGGGTGAGGAGGAGGGGGGGATGCGGAGGGGCAGGGAAAGGAGGGGGAGGGGATGCGGATGACGTGGGACGCGGAGCAGGAGGAGGAGGAGGAGGACAAGCAGCAGCAGTAGGAGGACGGGCATACAGAAGCGGGAGCAGCAGCATACAGAGCAGGAGGTGCATGGGGATCGGGGGAAGCCAGATGAGGAGGTGGTTGAGGAGAAGGAGGAGGAGGACAAACAATTGAGAAGGAGGAGGATCATGAGCAGAGGGATGACAATGAGCAGTAGGAAGAGGGGAGCACGGCGAGCGGCGAGCAGCAGGAGGAGAACGAGGCGAAGGAGAAGCAGGATGAGGAGAATGTGTTGGAGGGGGGAGCTGCTTGGACGCAGCCCGCATGTTCTCCATGGGCACTCCCGCGCCGGCCTTCACGGTCTGATCGGGCCCTTTCTTTCTCTTACGTATCGCGTTATTCCCTACCTAGGCTCTGCCTAGAGGGTTCTTACTCTCTTAGCTTAAAGGGGCCGGGCAGTGCACAGCGCCCCGGGCGGTTCCCCCAGTCCCCGCCCCGCGGTTCCCCCAGTCCCCTGGGAGCTTTAGTTTCAGCTGTTAGCTTTAGCTTTAGCTTTAGCTTTAGCTTTAGCTTAGCTTTAGCTTAGCTTGAGCTTAGCTTTAGCTTAAATTTAGCTTAGCTGTAGCTTAGCTTTAGCTTAGCTTCAACTTTAGCTTAGCTTCAGCGTAGCTTCAGCTTAGCTTTAGCTTAGCTTTAGCTTAGCTTTAGTTTAGGGTTGGCTTAGCTGTAGCTTAGCTTCAGCTTAGCGTTAGCTTAGCATTAGTTTACAGTTAGCTTAGTTTTAGCTTAGCTGTAGCTTTAGCTTTAGCTTAGCTTGGGTTTAGCTTAGCTTAGCTGTATCTTATAGTTAGCTTAGCGTTAGCTTAGCGTTAGCTTAGCGTTAGCTTAGCGTTAGCTTAGCTGTAGCTTAGCTTTAGCTTAGCTTTAGCTTAGCTTTAGTTTAACTTTAGCTTAGCTTTAGCTTAGCTTTAGCTTAGCTGTAGCTTTAGCTTAGCTTAGCTTTAGCTTAGCTTTAGCTTAGCTTTAGTTTTAGCTTTAGCTTAGCTTAGGTTTAGATTTAGCTTAGCTGTGGTTTATGTTTAGCTTAGCGTTAGCTTAGCGTTAGCTTAGCTTTAGCTTAGCTTTAGCTTAGCTGTAGCTTAGCTTTATGTTAACTTTAGCTTAGCTTTAGCTTAGCTTTAGCTTAGCTGTAGCTTAGCTTTAGCTTAGCTTTACTGTTACTACTAATGCTGCCTTCCTAGGGGCTCCAACTCCTAGGTAGGGTCGCACTATGATAATTTTATTTTTCGCTTCTTGTTTCAATTCGCCTTCGGTGCATCCCACCGCTCGTTTTGACCATCGCCCGACCGTCTTGGACCACCTGGCGCCCGCGGACTTGAACAGTTTGTATGTGTTTGGGGTTTGGGTGGGGGGAGCACGGTTCAGGGGGCTTGGATCCAGGAGGCACACAGCAGGATGCAAGTAGCAGGGAGGAGGTCATGGGGCGGAAGACGAGGGAGGCCACGGCCATGGTCGCGGTCGTGGTCGTGTGGTCGTGGTTCGTGCCTGCGTGGTGGAAGGCGTGCCTTGTGGCCTGGCCTTCCCTTTTGGCGCACCATCGAGGAACGCTGGGCTCACGCCTCTGCGAAAGACGTGGGCTCAATGGGTCGGGTGGTGCTTTGACCCAGACACTTCTCACGAGCGGCGAACGTCACATCCACGCCCTCGCGATCTGGATTCTGAGGCGCGATCCCGCGGATACTCGGTCGTACGGATACGTTCCGCTCGGGGCATCCGCCAAAAGACGTGTCGTGTCCGCGGGATCGCGGCCCAGGGGCCCAGCCCGCGAGGCCGTGGATACGGACATGATTTTCGCCCGCGAACCTCTGCCTTCGCCAGCCGAGGCGTAGGCCGTTACTTCCCCCTCGGAAAAGCTCCAGCGGGAGAACTGGGAGGAAAAGGGGCGAGGAGGAATGCAGGGGGCAGGAGGAGGAGGAGGAGGAGGAGGGCCGGGACGGAAGATGGGGGCGTGGGGACGAGGGAAGAGGTGAGGGAGGATGCTCAGATTCATCGGGCATCCGTTCACGCGCCGAGCAAGAGAGGAAAACACAGGGCCACAAGGCCGTTCTGCCGGGGGCCGCCAGGGTGTGGCTGAACGCTTCCTCTCCCCAGAGCGCTCGGCCGGCCAGACACGGGCAGCAGGAAGAGGAAGGGGGACGGGGGAGGGAGAAAGACGGACGAGGGGAGAGGAGGAGGGATGGGGGACAGGGGATGCGAGGGGATGCGAGGGGATGCGAGTGGGTGGGTGGGGAGGGGATGGCGCTCGGGGGCTCATCGGCCCAGCCTCCGCGCCCTCCGAGGCAGAGATGGGCGAGCCGACCGCCGCGGGCCTGGGCCCTTGGCCGCCCGCGCCGCGGCCGCCATCCGCGCGGTCCGCGCCTCGCGGCGGGGGGGGGTAGGCGGGGACGGGGGAGGAGGGCGGGGATTTGCGGGGAGGGGATTTGCGGGGAGGGAAGGTGCGAGGAGGGGAGGGGGGTGGGGAGGGGGGGAGGGAGGGGGGGGGGAGGGGGGGGAGGGGGGGGGGGGGGGGGGGGAGGGGGGGGGCTAGGGGAGAGAGGGCGAGGGGGAGGGGGGGCAAGCCAGGTGCGCTCGCGCCCTATCTGGTGCCCTGCGCCTCCCACCCCAATCCTTCCCACTGCGCAGATGGTTTCGCTGTCCGCCGACGGGCATCGCAGCGGGCTTGGACCCCCCCCAGAAGGCCACATCGTGCTGAGCGCAGTCAGAGCAGCGGAGCTGCGTGGTGTGGATATGGGGAGGTGCCGGGTGAGAAGGAGGGCGGGAGAG